CTTTCTGTGTATCTCAAAATAATAAGAATAGTACAGACACAGTAAATAAGAACAATAAATTTACAGGCCGAACTAAGCTCTTTTCTCCAGACAAGTAAGATTCCTGAATTCTTGGCTTTCTTTTCATTTTAAAAAGGGAGGGCCAGCAAGTGATGTAATAGTTAAGGCACTGAGTCCCATATGGCCAACCATGGTTTGAGTCCCAGACCCAGCAGCTTGAGAGTCACGCTGGGTACATGTGTGAGTATGCCCCAAATCCTGAGAGTTCAATGGAGGAGAAGGGACTGCAGTATAGCCATCGCTCTTGGGGAGGGGGGCGCATCTCTCACTTTCTCTCCCCCCCGCCTCGTGAGTCCACATGCCTTATGACAAAAACCTAAAAAAAGAGAAATATGAACCAATATAAAATTTCCTAACTCCCTAAGGAAAGATATGTTTTACAAAAGCTCTTGAAGCAAACATATCTGTCTTTCACTTAGGGATAGCAGCAATAGTTAGTCACACTCTCTCTCAAATGAAGAGTACTCTAGCATCCTCTTCAGGTAGCTGACTATTGTGATGGCAGGAAGGGAAGGGGCACTCAGCAAACAGCAAATCACTTCTGAAATTACAAGAATGGGAAACTACAGTCAAAAAGTAAAATGCCTTGTCTGGGATTATAGGGATTTTCAATGAACCAGGGCTTCTGCTCTGCCACGCATTGCCTCCTAGCCATGATGACTGGTCTGGCAGGAGCCAGATGAGGCTATTGGGAGGCAGAACTCTTTGATTTTCCAAAGGTTCCCAGGTCCTCCATAACAAATTCTGCAATGTGACACAAGGATTCATTTGTGCATGAACATATTTAGAAATAAAACTCAGGAAAGATGGTGAAAAAGAGGGAAGGAAACTATAGGGATTAGATGGCACCCACTGGGGTTCTTGGAGATTAATATAAGAAAGGCAAAGACAAAGTGCGATTTGGGGTGTCAAGACACCCCAAACCGTGTTTGCCAAGGCAGGAAGATTCAGAATAAGGATTCAAAGTTCACAAGGGCCTGTAACTAAGGTGCAAATGGAGAAGACAGAGGCATCAGGGCAATTGACTCTAACTAAAGGAAAGGTTTGCATCCTTACTTGCCAAAGAAGAACTGAAGGTTTTTAAGAAGTGGACATCTAAGTCAGGTTTGTGTTTTAGATTGACCCTCATTAACTGGTTCAAGATAAACCTTTGGTGTTGCACATGAGAACAGAGGCAGGTAGAGGCAGATGGAGGCAATATTAATTGTCTCCTAACTAGATAGCAACTAGGAAAGATCAGATTTAAGATATGTGAACTATTAGCAGGGATGGAGAGAGGAAGTGGATAGCCGAATTCAATGAAGAGGTCATGGCCGGATATTCAAATTTAGGAGTCATCCATTTTTGAAAACTAGGGACATTGTTTGGGATGAGATTGTTTTAAGAAAGAATATAGAAGTGGCGCATCTGAGGAATTCCAACACAGTGCTGTGACTGTTGTGTAAGGAATCTTGTCTAAATAGGCTCATGTACAGTGGACTTAGAGATTTCTAAAAGAATAAAGGCTATTGAATAGGAGGAAAAATCAGCTCAATGTAAGTTCCTTTCTTGGCTTGTTACACTCCTTCTGGGCTTCATTTTCATCAACTGCATCACCAGGAAGTTGGACTAGACAATCTCTAAAAGAATCTTTTCCAGATTTAATTCACTATAATTCTAAATCTCTTCCCAGTAATGTAAATTCAAAAACCAGACATTTTACTGAGGAGCAAACTCTTGGCTTTAGAACAACGAGGAGAATTTACTTAAGACCAAGAATGGAATGTAAATGTCTTATCGGGTATACACGCCGTGTAACTGCAAACATCAACTGATAATGAGCGAAGGACATAAGGAGTTTAAAGACATCCAATGGAATGACTAAACCACTTACACAGAAGCATATGTCATAATTTCTACCATAAGTTATAATATAGATGAGTCAGTCTGAGAGAGCTAAATTTAGAATTTCCAAGGGCCCTCTCCCTTCCATGTCAGAAGATTCCATTTAACTACAAAAAAAAAAAAAGAGAAAAATGATGATACAGGCAATATTTGACATCTCTAAGACTAAGATGTCCAAAACAGCTGAATAAAAATAGCTGCAAAGATCACTCATCATCAAGACTGGGATCCAAGATGCAACAGAGTCCTTGGGTCACAAGAGATAAAGCAGTAACACACACACACACACACACACACACACACATGCACACACACACGTGAAGACAGACAAACTTGACAGAGCTCTTTAAGGATATAATGCCTAGAATCTGGGTACCTGTGGTTTGAAAGGTCTTCGCCACTGGAGCCATCAGAGGACTGCTAAGCTGAGGAGATCTGTTATCCAGTGTGAAGACTGATGGTGCATGGAGCCAGAACATAAAGGAGAAAGTCACAGACCAGGATATAAGGAGAGACATGCAGCTAGAGGGACCAAAATAGCTGAACTTAGTTAAGGGGCAAAGCTGAGAGTTAGCCACAGAGCATCTGAGACAGAAAGAGGCTCCTACAAGTCAAGGTCAACTTTCACTGAGCTCCCATCATGGAGCTGATCTTATGCCCTATGAGTGGATTAGTCTTCAAAGCAGCCATTGTACACACCTGTGTGAATTATTATTGCTGAAATAAGCACCACTTCACCTGTCTTACTGTTTCTGCTCCATGACATTCTCTTTTTGTTTTAGTTTTATATTGCTTTGTTTTTAGTTTTTGCCATAAAATATGTGCTCTTGCTGGAAAAAAGACAGAGACAGATAGAGGGGAATAGCAAGAAATCACTCCCCAGGGAGATGGCCATGCCACAATCCCTTCTCCTCCATTTTCCTCTTGGGATTTCGGACACACATGCACACATACATGCTCAGCATGATTCTAAAGTGCTGGGTCCTGGACTCAAACTGTGATTGGCCATGTGGGAGTCTAGTGCCTTAACCACCAAGACACCTGCTGGCCCTTCCATGACACTCTGACTTTCTACTGTCCCACGCCATGTGTTCTCTCTATATCTCAGTATAAACCATGTGATAAACTAAATATCATGGGTTAAATGCACTTTGGTAGATTATAGCTCCTTAGGTCCTTCTGTTGCAAGGGCAATTTTTAGTTTAAGTAAGAGGTAGTGTCCTGGTTTCATTGTTATGAATAGAGAGTTTGTAAAGATCAAGAATACTTATGATGTACAAAGTTGTGTATTACCATTCAATCAAAACAAACCCTTTTAGTTGGGGAATAGTGCTACTAGAAGGGTGAATAAGGATTTTTTCTAACTGTGTTTTAGCATTTGAGCTGTGACACATTGACTCAGGTGTTAGCCAGGCAGCTGTAATGCACACAGCATTTTACTAGGGCAGTGGAGAAAAACAAACACCACCTTGGGCTTCGAAGAACTGTTGGTGCAGAGGAACAGAAATATTGCACCACAAAACTAAGAGTAAGCAGCAGATGTGACAATTATGTGTGAAGGAACACTATGGTTGTTCATAAACAGATGTCAGAAAAAAGAAAATTAACAGTGTAAAATAACAAGATAGCTATTTTTTGCCTATCAGTTTGGCAAAGATGGAGGAATAAGAGTGCCAATCCCATCGGCAAATAGGCATAAATATAAGGAAACAAACACTTCTATACGATGTGAGATACAACTTTCATGGGGAACAGTTGAGAAATAAGTGTCAATTTTTTTTTTTAATATTTAAGACTTTTTGACCAAATAATACCTAACTTTAAAACTGGTCCTCAGTAAGTAACAAGACAAGTGCGCAAAAATATAAATTCAAGAAAGTTCATCACAGTGTTTTCTGAAATAGTGAAAATCGTAATTCAATGGGATCAAGATAAGGAAATTTTAGTTTAACCCCGATGATTGTTATGTAATCAATAGAAAATTACGTATTGCACCTCCATTGACTTAGAAAGATGTATCATATGGTATTAAGTGGAAAAGCAGCTTACAATATCATATGTAGAGAGAGATTTGTGGCTGCAAAAATGGGATCGTATTTTCTTATGTGTAGATATTCGCCTATGGGGAAATGGGCCTGGACAGTTTTGGTCCAAATGTAACAGTGATTTCCTCTGGGGATGGTATTATGAGAGAACTACATTATCAGATTTCTAATTGTTCAGTATTTTCTGACATTTTTTTAAAAAATGATCATGCATTAGTTTCACAATCAGAAAAATAAGACAGTAAAAAATAAAACAGTCTGTGTTTCACTTTCTACACAGTTTAGAAACTCAAGGAAATGAAAAATAAAACAAAACAAAGAAATTTGAAAAATAATTTAAGAGAACTTTTTAGTAAAGATGACCATTATTCTTAATAGCATCAAAGTATTTTATTTATATACTTTTTAATTAGGACAGATTCAATTTCTGTATGCGTTATTCTGGATTTCAAACCCAGTGGTTATAACCTATACTCTGACTGAAAAAAAAAGTTTTCAGCCCAAAATAGATAAGGTTATAAACCCATCAAAAGTGATGACTTACAGAAAATTCTGAGAACCTAAAAATGTAAGACAAAGAAAGATGTATAAAATCTATTTAGTTTTTTTTTAAAAAAAGAAACCAAATTATTACAAAAATAACAGCCTTCAGAATAACAAAAAAACTTCAACAGAAGGAAATTGAGAGCAAAAATTTGGCATATGGATGTTAAAACTCCAGTGTCAAAGAGGTTTTGAAAACTGGTTATGTGTCACCAATTATATATATATCCAAGATCAAGGTGGCAGATGCCAGATGCTCATTTTCAACAGCAATGGCAAGTTAATAATGCCCTAAAAATCTCTTTTCAGTGACTGATCATATAGTATAATGTGAGATTTTAATATTCATATAATCATTGGTGACCAAATTCTAGGACAAAGAACAGAGATACAGCTGTAGTCTACTCACTACATTAATTCATGTCTAAAACAGGTTTGTATATAACGGTCTTTTCTTCTCACCTCTAGGAAAAGCACAAAGAAGAAACTACAGCAATGGCCAAGTTGACAGAATCCATGAGTGAGTAACTTGAAATTTACTATTTGTTGTCGGTTTCAAGTGGAAAAATATAAAAATCATGAAAAAAACCACTTGTGATAATACCATTTGATTTTTTTCTCTTTTCACTCTCAGAATGACCAAGGTCTATTTAACATGTATTACATTGTGTTGCTAGTACATTATGCACTATTCAAAATTTGTCGTACTTGGAGTAAAATTCCGGGCTGAAGCTGCTACCCAAAGTATGGAGCTGATGCATTAGGGATTGAGAACCATGAAAATTTCCACCTGACTTTTAGGAGATTTAGTCAAAGTCAGGTAAACTCGTCTGTGCAGATATTCCATGGATTGAATGACCTAAGGAAAGGAAAGAAGTATGAATTATTGTTAAATTTTTCAGGTATAATTTACAAATTTCAGACAAAGCTATTAAAAATAGAGGCCTTGAAGTGTAAATAACTTGTAATAATTTAGGCTTTGAATATATCAGTGTTACAATGCTCTAAGCTCTTAGGCTAAATAAACAGAATACACAAGCATTTTTAAGAGGAAAAGGGAATTAATTATAATAAATGCTTCTGCAAATGAGAAATGCAATTTCCTATGTTAAAGTTTAAATATTAAAGGCCACATTAATATGAAATAAACAGACAAGGCATATTTTCTTCCTTTGAAAATATACATTGCTCCTGGTAATAGATTTTATGTAGACGTGCAAGGGAGCCTTATCAACATTCCTTGTCATCATCAGGACAACGAATACCATATTAAATATACTCTATTTAGGCTGCAAAAATAACCATAAATCATGCCTTCACACTTTACTGTGTACTGCCTTCCATTCCTCAGATCACGAGACTGCCAAATACAATTGTTCCATTACAGCACAGTCATTGAATATTTATCCTCAGTATCCATCTCTCACCAAGACAATATTAAGTTCTTTACATTGCATTTCTTTAATTCTTGACCTAAAACCTCTGCCTAAGCTCATACAAGCCCCAAAACACATGCTAATTTCACCATGTAAATGACGACACAAGGAGGACTAGATGAAGAACAAACTCCTTTCAGTCCGCATGCCCCTCTTTTCTGCTTTTATTGCAGTAGGCTCTGCCTTTCTTTTCTACATCAAGTCTTGTAGACTGAAAAATATTTAAAGGATTTATCACTTTAGTGGAAGAACCCCAAACTAGTTCTCTGTAAACGAAAGTAACTTTGTCTTGAAATGTGATCTTCTTAGATCTAGCATGAAGTAGTTAGGGCCACCACAAAACAGATGAGCCTGTATTGTCTAAATGTGGAGTAGGACCTTGGACAATGCCAACTAATTTATAATCCACAGAACATAAGTAAGTTTAGTTCTAACCTCTAAGTAGGAAGTCACCAAATGAACCACAGGTTCTCTGAATGATAGAAAGATCAATGGCTCAGCACCTCATGTGACTGTCGATGAACTGTGTCTTTTTGGAGAGGTTGTTTTCGCTATAGGGCGCGTATGCTCGCCAGACAGACAGAGAGAGACATAGAGACAGAAAGCGAGAAATCACCCCCCAGAGGGGATGGTCATGCCGCAATCCCTTCTCCTCCATTCTCCTCTCGGGATCTTGGGCACGCACACACACGCGCCCAGCGTGAGTTTTAAGCCACCGGGTCCAGGACATGAACCATGGTCTACTACGTGGGAGTCCAGTGACATAACCATTACACTAACTGCTGGTTCCCCACTGTGTCTTGAATGTATGGGTTACTGATCACTTGAATTGTGCTTCTAATATTTTTACAAGGCTCCTGTTAGAAATTTAATTTCACTAGTTTAGTGAATATTATTTTTAACTCATCTAACTTAATTGCAAAATATTACAGGTATTCTACTGCTCAATATTTCTGGTAAAAGGGTTTTAATTTTTCTTTCGCTATCAGATTCCAGATGCATTTAAATAAGGGCTCTTGATTACTGAACTTTTGGTTTCAGATTTTGTTTGCCATTGTAGTAATTCTAATGACTGGTCTATAAATTTATTGCCTTAAGAGAATAAATCTTTGGGTATGTGAAAAGGTAGAGCCATTCTTCTCATTAGCTTCGTATTTCTGAAATAGATCACATAGATGTATTTGGCACATAACGACATTTATCTTTTTTTTTTTTTTTTTGGAGAGGTTTTTGCTATAGGGTGTGTGCATCACCAGAGAGACAGAGAGAGACAGAAAGGCATAAAGCAAGAAATCACCCCCCAGGGGGAATGGCCACATCGCGATCCCTTCTCCTCCATTCTCCTCTAGGCATCTTGGACACACACACACACGCGGCCAGCGTGAGTTTAAGCCAACGGGTCTGGGACTCGAACCAAAGTTGACTACACGGGAGTCCAGTGACATAGCCATTATGCTAACTACTGATCCCAAGACATTTATCGTTTGAGAGCAAACCTAGAAATCACATCCAACATATCATTTTACTAATATTGACAAAGAGGTGGTACATTATAAAATATTTGAGATGTATTATAACTCTCCTAGGTGCTATAAAATGCTAATCATGTGATCAACACTAAGAAACATGTTATTAATATTAATAAATAATGAAATATATAACTGCACAATAAAATTGATAAGAACATCAAATCCATGGCCACCAGAGAAAAGAACATAAACGAACCATGAATACCCAGTACACAATACTCTGAGTGGGTTTCCAGAGCCAATAAACATTTTTCTTGTTAAACTGCCAAGCAAAAGCCATCTGGTTACTAGAACATCTCCATTTTTAACTAGAGCAGCATAGTGATTCTTCTCCTATCACCCTAGGTATACAAATGCCATTGATGGTTAAGCAAAGTAATAAGGATAGGGTATCTTCTTCATCTTATAGAGAATGAATGGGGAATATTTCTTCCCATCAGGTGCCCAAATCAATTTCTGACTTTTTTTTTAAGACAAGTAAGAAAGATAAAAATTTAACACATTTTTAAATGTGTGATTAAAAGCAACTTTCCTTAACAAGTGAAAAAATAATACTTTAATATATTTTTATGTCATGTGATTGAAATGAGGAGGGACACAATAAGGAAAGAAAAATAGAGAAGAAAGGAAAACAGATGTGAGGACAGAAAAAGACAGCAAAACACAGAAGAAAATTACAGAGCAAAAATATGTGTATGTATGAGAAATGACCCAGAGAAGGAGAAAGCGGCCAACTCACAAGGAACAAAGACAAGTAGCCAAAAAGGGAGAGGAGGTAAAGAGAACATTTAATAGACAGAGGGTCCATGGGGTCTAAACAATTATAAACTACATACACCTGTTAACTGACTAGATTTTCACTCTTCCAATGGCTATGGAGTTTTTTACTATTATGCTTTAAAGTTTTAATCTATCTTTGCATCTTTGAAATGGATGTATTTTCATACTTAGTCCCCCAGAAGCCTGTCCCAGATGGGGCAGTCAGAAAACCCACACTGGAGAAGGGTGTCTGAGCTTCTAGTCAGTAACCAGCACTTTACCACCCCACCCACTGACTGAAGTCAAACCAAAAGCCTGATCCCAGTGGGGGCGCCTAACCCATCTATAAATAGGCTTGCAATGACCATCATCAGAGGCGATTGATGCTTAGTCTTGTGCACTTGCTTCTAAGAATGTGATAAACTGCAGGTGTCCAGAGGCATACAAATAGCCTGAAGGCTCTAGAACCAAGGTCTGTATAAAGTACCTTTGCAATATATTCTTACATAGATTTCTTAGGTAACTAGCTTCATGGATATTACCCATTGATGCACCACCACCACCACCACCGCCTTGGACTTAGGAACCTATCAAATACAGCCCAGGAATCTCACTACATGGTTTCACTAATAATTTGGATTATAATCAGATATCTGGTCTTGTGCATGGTGACAGTTACAAGGGTGGAGATGGTAGGAGACTTGGTACCAATGCCTTCTCTATGCTGCAAGACCCTTTTCTTCTTGAGGACTCTGACCATGTTCTGCTGGCACTCTGGTTCATATTCCTGCCTCCTCTGATCAGTCATCTGTCTGCAATGCATCACTGCTTCAGTAGATGAGGCCATGTAAGCTGTACATGGCTCTCTCCGAATCTTGACAAGAGGAGTTGACTTCCTGTTGCTTCCTGTCTCTAGCTTTCTAACCTCTCTTGGGCATGCAGTGCATGTCCCAGGCTTGTCTTTGCCAGCCAGAGCATCTATCCAGCCATCCTCACAAGTCATTCTACCCAGGCCATTCCCACCAGCTTAGTTCACCTTGATATTACAACCATAAAAGATCTGCATGGGAAAGAGAAGAGTTACTCAGCATCATTTTAAAATAAGCAGTGGAGCAGCAGCTTTGTTCTGAGTAGCTCCAGGGGCTGAGTCCTTATCCAGCCTGGGAGAGCCTATGAGGAGACCACAGTTCATTTTCTGGCCCAAAGCCATGGATTCTCTTTATGAGGTGTTCAGAGGTCTTGCCTATCTGCTTTGAACTAAAGGGAATTCCTCCTACAATTAAGTAAATGGCTCAAATTTAGCACAGATCTGAAATTTCTTCCTGTCAAATGAAATAGAGAGAACCAATTGCAATCACTGCACATTAAATTACCTCAATTAAAGCAGAGTGGGTTTTAATTATTTATTCCCTTTTTTATGGAGTGGCTATTATAGCTCCAGCATTGTATTAAGGTGTGGAAAGACAGAAAGATAGGGTCCCTGCCTGCTCTGTGTGCAGTATTTTAGAATGAAGGAGGCAGGAGGGTAGTAGCTTCAGCACGGGGGAGAGAGGCACACTCTTGCAAAGGCAATGCAAGTGACTGCAGCTTGCAAGTGCATGCCACTGGGGCTTGCCTTTCACAGACCATGATGTGATTCTGCATCAGAAAGGCACCCAGGATACACTGAGTCCATGAGGCAGCCAATGGGAATGTGTGTGCCAGGGCCCAGGACAGAGAACACAACAGGGAGGAAGACAGAGGTGTAGGAACATGGCCGAAGGGAGAAAGAGCAGAGATTTGAGAGTAAATAATTG